GGTTAAAAGAGTGCTAAATTGAAATAATCTAAGAAACATGAAAGCAACCAATTTCAAATTCTCATCGTATGAAAATGATAAGAAATCGGTGCTCGTGGCAGAGTAATATCATCTCAAGCAGTCTGAATCATTAACTATGAATTAAAGAAATTATTTATTGTATGTATTTGTTCTTTAAAAAAATGTTAGGTGAACACTTAGAAGTTTGGTTCAGTGTACATAAATAGATATGTTTTCCTTTTTTTTTTTTTTTTTTTTTTTTTTTTTTTTTTTTTTGCATATGTTGTTACATTAATTATCTGATCATACAAACTCTCCAATAATTTGTAGGAAAAGAATATCTTGTCTTAACTCTAATCTTATCTTATATAACTAACTTAAAACTGGCTTTAAATGTGGTTGCTCAAACCCCTGTTACTTCAATTGAACAATCAGCAGCTTTGCATCGGTTTAAGAATTGATTATACAGAGAACATGTTTTAGTTCCGAATAAATTTGGAGATGTTAACACCATCTGCATGTGATAGCGGAATAACACGTACTTCAATAATTAAGAATTTGACAATTAAAAAACCAGATACTTCTCGATTCTCGTCGAATTAAGGGCTTAGTTAGCTCTATTTGTCCGTAAAACATCCATGAACCCCATGAAAACTATGATATTCTGAAATATATCGGGACAATTTTTACTTAAATTCCGATCTCATTGGGTATATTGATTCGACATAAGGACGGAAGTAACGATTGTTAATTGTTAAACATTGTTCATGCATCAAAATGTCAAGTTAAATACCCAAGCAGGGTTTCTTTGAATAAATACCATTAAATAATGAAATATATATTCTTATCATCCGAATATGATGTTAATGCCTCTTAGTTGATTCGATACAAAACGGTGCACTCAACGTATGAACAATTTTTTTTTTAAACGAGACATACGCTTTTGACAAATAAGTTCATAGGAGAAGAATATCAACGGTCTTGAATGATGTCATCATTTCGCAAGTTTAATGTTCAATACAATGATTTTGTCAGGAATAACAGTCCATTATTAAAGACCCAATTTTTTTACCGTACGGTTAATAACAGTGGTGTTATTTACCTGCAGACCCCCAATACCCAAGATGTCAAAAATCTATACACGTAGCATTACACAGGAAGGCTGTGTCTGGTGATCAGGGTCAACATTCCATGTTTCGTGTCTAAATTTGAGTGAAAGTACTTGAAATAATTGAAATATTTCAATAAAAAAAATTATATTTACTTCCAGCGATATATAATGAAGAAAAAAATTATATACAGAAATAATAAATACCATTAAATAATGAAATATATATTCTTATCATCCGAATATGATGTTAATGCCTCTTAGTTGATTCGATACAAAACGGTGCACTCAACGTATGAACAATTTTTTTTTAAACGAGACATACGCTTTTGACAAATAAGTTCATAGGAGAAGAATATCAACGGTCTTGAATGATGTCATCATTTCGCAAGTTTAATGTTCAATACAATGATTTTGTCAGGAATAACAGTCCATTATTAAAGACCCAATTTTTTTACCGTACGGTTACCTGAGGAGGGGGAGTGGTCTTAGTAACAGTGGTGTTATTTACCTGGAGACCCCCAATACCCAAGATGTCAAAAATCTATATACACGTAGCATTACACAGGAAGGCTGTGTCTGGTGATCAGGGTCAATATTCCGTGTTTCGTGTCTAAATTTGAGTGAAAGTACTTGAAATATTTCAATTAAAAAAAATTATAAATTATACTTCCAGCGATATAAAATGAAGAAAAAAATTATATACAGAAATAATAAATACCATTAAATAATGAAATATATATTCTTATCATCCGAATATGATGTTAATGCCTCTTAGTTAATTCGATAGAAAGCGGTGCACTCAACGTATGGACAATTTTCTTTTAAACGAGACATACGCTTTTGACAAATAAGTTCATGGGCGAAGAATATCAACAGTCTTGAATGAAGTCATCATTTTGCAAGTTTAATGTTCAATACAATGATTTTGTCAGCAATAACAGTCCATTATTACGTTAACTGCTAATTGACGTTTTTCATACTAAGTGTCAAAAACTATATATTTACACACTGAATTTTCTGATGGTCAACTTTGAGTGAAAGTACTTGAAATAATTGAAATATTTCAATAAAAAAAATTATATTTTTCCAGCGATATATAATCAAGAAAAAAATTATATAGAAATATCGTTTTTATATTTAAAAAAAATGGCGAATTAGTAAAACTACAAAGTAAACATATCTTTTTTTTTAATTAAACTTGTGTAAATATCAAAATAAAAAAAAAATTATAATATTCCATTCATAGGTAGGCCTATCCGTCGTGTGAACATATACAATGTACCGTACCACGATAGGAATATTGCCTACGTTCTGATCTCGAAAATATTCACCATTTCCGGGTGTTCGTGTGTTTAATTTTTTTTATTGTTTGCAAGATTTCTTTTAAACTTTTAAGAATTGATCTTTGGTTGTATATATTCACTTTTTAATTTCGAATATTGGGTATTGTGTTTAATTGAACTAAAAGACTAGTGACATTTCAGAACTTTAACGGAACATGGTAAAGATTGTTTCATATAATAAGTGGGAAAAACGATTTTTTTTTTGCCGTTTGTGCTAAATATCTTTTTATTTATCATATTTAATGCAACAATGTGACTGGTATAAATTCTACAGAGCAGATATCTTGGCCTAAAATACAAAATAGCCGTTGAGATTAAAAGGAAATATTTTATGAAGTCATGTTTTAATTATCTACTCTCAATTGTTTTTAAAATAAAATTTTACCCAATTTCTTTTTTTAACCCCCGTGTATACAAGGCGGCTACATGAAAGTGTTTGACGCATGACCAGGAAATCGTTTTCAAAGGACACAAACTCAGTCTATGAAATCAAATTTGTTTTTTTAATGATTGACAGGCGGTAAATTATTGATCTTGAATCAGGTAGATTTTGGGGGCGTTAACATAAAATTGGGTGTTTAAGTAAATTGCTAACTGACGTTTTTCATACTAAGTGTTAGAACATTATATACACACTGAATTTTCTATGGACTTTTCCGAGCAATTGCAAGCAGGAATAAATTCCTCCATGGTACCTGATCTCTCCTGATTTTTTTTAGGGGGTAAACTTATGTTTAATTGGATTGCTTTAATAAAATAACTATTTAGCACTATTCGGATGACAATATCAATGGAAAATCATAAAAAAAATAATTTAATGGATCTCTCGCTTATACGAGTTTTTTTTTTAACTATAAACACATATGAGACAAAACATTTTTTTAATGACGTTTCTTCCAAATTTCAGACCAATGCAAGTAGAAGTCAATTGGAAAATATGAGAGTCCACATCAAATGTTTCATTCACAATTCCATTGAAGGTTAAATCAGAGACGTGGATATGTTGAGAACAAAAAAAAATTTAAGATTGTGTCACAATCTTACAAAATTCTGCCATTTTTCATTGCAAACATTACTCATTTCACCTATCTGAATATAGATCTATGAGAAATATTGCTGATGTCTAAAGAAAAAAAAATTGTGTAATTTATCCAAGTCATCGGTGTTCCTGCGAATTAATGTGACTGCTATATGTACATGTACGTGTCGCCCGATGCTGATGTCGGCAGATCATGTACTTTCAGCCGACAAGACCAGAAAAAATTTGGTCACCCGACCATCGGCTTAAATGTGACCTAGGCATAACTCATCGTATTGACCTCAGAAACAGCAATAAATGTAGAATGTTCGAAGCCATTTTAGTAAAGGTATACACCGAAAGACTTTTTTCAGATATTTAATTTTTGATAATTCAGAAAAAATTCAGGGTAATTCGTTATATCCTTGAAGTGTAGAATATATTGTTACGTCATTGGGAATAAAAATAGATTCGTTGTAAACACTTGTATCGTGTCGATTCGTTATACATGTACATTTAAGCGTGTTCGCTATAACCGTGTTTTACAGTTACAGTATTTCCCTTTTTTAAGTTGGAGGCTGTTGGCGATTTTTTTTTAATTCAAAAGAGAGATATTGAGTAACATAATAAAATGTCTTCTCACATTTTCTCACTTTCCCTTTAAACAAGAATGGAATAAAAGAAAGTTATCATAAATAAGATACAAGTGTTCCATTCGAAAAATAATTATTGTTGGTTTTATATAAATATTTATACCTTAAAAATATTTACCATTTGGTGACCATAAGTTTTCAAAATTGGTAATTTCAAATTTTTGCCTCTATTGTACGTAAAGGTTAAAGTGTAGAAGCCTTTTAATCATATGTATTTTACTTTGATTCAAGCAGAAAAATATATAATTATTGCTTTTTATAGAGAATTACGAAGTTCCTCATCCTATTATGATAAGATAATTGACTTTCACCAAGAATAATATTACTTGTGATAAACCCACTCTTATAGAAGATTTTGTAAAAATGGACAGGCAAAGATTATTTTAATTTAAACAATATTTTATTCACTGATGTTATTGTGAATAGGATTGGGCAGCATGCGCAGCCTATTTTAGCCCTCTCCCCAAGATTATTCCATGATGATGAAATTTTTCTGCCATTCCAAAATATGTATTGCAGTCTTTCTATCTCTTGTTTACAAAAAGCACAGTGGTTGTCAGATAAAATATTTATTTTCTTCAAATAACACACGAGCTATGAACAAACTTAAAACATCTTAAACCCAAATATCAGATTCCAAAACACTTAAAATTCCTGTTTTCATCTAAATATTGATGTAGCAGTGACATTATTATTTTTCAAATATCTGTAAATTATTTTGTGCAATTCTCGTATTCAACAATATTTTCAAAATAAAAAGGTAAATGTATAAAAGATGTATATTGTATCTAAACAGATTTTGGCAGATCTTAAATATTAATATATATTTTGTTCAATTTATTCTATTTAAAAAATAAAATTCACATTCTTGCACACAAATGACATTTCTGCTTTGTTACTTCAATGGAACAGATCATTCCTCCTTTATTTAAAAAAAGTGTCAGAAAAACATAAACAGATATCAGCCACCATATAATCCTACAAAGTCTTTCCATTGTCGTTTCTCACCCATCGCACGTGAGTTTATATAATTTAATCTTCAGTTCGAGTTGCTGAAATGGATAAAATAAAAAATAAAAATGAATTTTTTTATAAATCTGCAGCACTTAAATATAAAAGAATTAAATAATATGGTTAAATCAATTCTTTATAGCTTTTTAAAAACAATTTAAATTTTAATATAAATGCAAAATACTTATAATACTTACAAATATTTTCATTAACATTTTTTGGTTTCTAGCCTTCATTGCTTTGATGTTACTTTCGACTTCGATGAGAGTTTCTCTGCTTTTCTGCAACTCCTTTATATAATCAACTGAAGCTTTCAAAATACTGCCTTTACAAGTTTTCAGTTTTCTGAAGATAAAAAAATGAAAACTTTGTCTTTAAATCAATATAGAATATTTACTTTTTAATATTGATTTTATATAGAAGTATTAAGATATACTGTAGATCACTTTTCAAGTTTTCGCGACACCTTATTTTCACGAGATAGTCTTTGACTCCTTTTTAGAGAGAAAAAATTTTCACGAATTGTGGTCATTGCTCTATTTAATCTTACGGAAATATATTATACGCGAGAATGAAATTTTCGCTAGCATACCGTCTCGTGTAATTACGCGAAAATAAAGCGAAAATAAATGAAAAGTGATTTACAGTATACCAGTTTCAACATACTATTAAATTGTATTTTATAGTTCATATGAATATCCATGAAGAAGTGCTGGATAGAATAATTTTTTGTAAACAGATACCTTTCTTGTCAAAACCCTTAAATTTACGCCTTTGACGTAGATTAGGCCTTTTTCAGGTCACATGGTCAATTAGCAAGACAGTTGTATTTAATTCCCGATCGCTGACCTCCATTTACCCAACGCACGTCTATTTCGACCCCCCCCCCCCCCCCTTGCAGAAATACTGCCTCTTTTATCATAATGAATGTATCATATTACACCTTGTAATAGGAACTTTTTGAAATGCCATCTTTTCTTCCCTTTTCGTAGGATTTGTTAAAATAGTTTTAACTTATAGTTATATTATTCTTGCTGCTTTTAAGGGATTAGCCATTTTCATAGTTTAGGTTACTTTAATCAAAACCAGAGATTTGAATCCAGTCCCCTTCTTGTGTGTTACATTTTTAAAAAATATAATTATCCCGTTTTTAAAAATAAATAACAAAACTCATTTTTATTAAAGTGCTTTATCTATACAAATTACCTAAATATCACTGCGTCGATGTTGCATAGCATTCAAAGACATTAAGAACTATTTTTCAAAGTAACGGTGTTGATGATATTTTAAATTAGATAATTATTTGTTATTGATACTGATGATATAATATGCAAATTATTGGAAAAACTTACGGATGTATTGTTGGTGGTAAAAGGGTGCCTAGTTCTTTGATTCTATTGTTTATATTCTCTCTTCGCCGTTGTTCGACTGAAGAAAAGTTTGTTAAAGTTACATGTAACTTGCATGTTAATCAGAGACCCAGATCTTTCCTAGAAGGTAGTATTGTTAGCTTAAGAACCTTGCGTAGGCCTCCCTGGAAAAATACATTTTTAAAACACAAACTAAACAAAAATGATCATTTATCAACATGCTCGATTTCCGCTTCTCCTTCTTATTATAAAGAATGTCTTACTGGTATTGTGTTTGTCCCTTTTCTTTATTTCCTTCTTTATTTTTTCTTCTTCTGTCCACATCATTTTCATTGGAGGAATACTTTCTTTTGGAAGTAAGTAAGCTTCACTTGGAGAGAAATTATCAACCTTGTCCAAAGGTATTTCAAGAAAATTACTATTTTCAGACTTGTTATTCAAAACATTGCATAATAAAACATTTCCGTGCATATAAAATTATTCAACTGATGTTCGTCGTTGTATGAGGATAACGACTTTATTTTTTTTAAAAATCCATTTAGATTTCCTTTTAAGATATGATGACTGCAAAAAAATGAGGGTGTATTTATAATGTAGAATAATATTTATATTTAAAACTCAACAACAACTTACATTTGAACATGACATAGTCTCTTCTAAGTCTTGTTCCTCGTTTGAATTGTTCTGAAAGGAATTTACTGCATTGTCAATAAAAATGTCCATCTGAAACAAAAGTAAAATAATATTAAATATAAAGTTAACAAAGTCTGTGATGCTTTAAAAAAATCCAGGAAAAGGAAATCTCTAACAGCACTAGAGATGGGATCAGGTGCCTCGGACGAAGCATTTCATGCTGACGGTTATCGTCATAAAGAAAGCATCTGAAGACGGAGACCTATCTAAAAAGAAATCTGAGAACAATACAAATATAAACACTATATTAAACAAAGACACATGAAAAGTCAATTGTTTGCCCATGTCCAGGAAAAGTAAGCATTCATTGATGTCAGTCCCTGTTAATCGATCACACACACCATGACCCCTATGTATTGAACTAGTCGACAGAAAAATCCCTTGTCGAATTCAGTGTGAAAAAGAAAGGAATATAATTGCTATGAATATTGATTGACAAAATACAAACCAATGATAGGTTATATGTTCTTAAGGTAGGATTCTTCTCTAGTTTCTAACTAGATGAAATATTCAAAGTATATTTACTTATATGTCTTATATATTTAGGTGTAAGAGATTTAAAAGACCATATTTTTCTTTCCTTATCACAATTGTACAACTTTAAATAAAAATGGTCAATTGTGTTTGAAAACTAGCAGGGATTATATTTTTTGGCGGAATGGTGGCGTATGAAAATATCTTTTTTTCTGCCTCTCAAAATTTTTATAGAACATTGAATTTAGTTATAATTTTTACGCAATCAAAGACTAGACGAAATTTTCAAATGTAAGTTAAATTAATAATAAGAGAGTAAAGTTTCAAAATATATCAAATAAATAAGATTTTTCACACATATTAGAACTATGTTGGCTTTTAAATGCTGCAAATCTAAGTACAGATTTGAGCCAAAAATCCATAAAAAGTGTTATTTCTCTCTTAGTAAACGATCAAAACTTTTAGTTTTTGTATCATTTTGTACCTTTATGTGACAACTTTATTATGTGTGAAAATGAGAAAAAGTTAAATATAGGAAGCATATAAAAATAACTAATATATCCTAAAAATTTAAGAAAAGTAGAGGAAATTCGGATTAGCAAATATCCATTTTATTTGAATTATCTATGTCAATTTGATAATATCATCTTATATGCCCTATATGGTTGTATCTTTTTATGCAAAAAGAAGAACATTCAATCTTTTGAATAACAAGTAGGGATCGCATGATTGGAAACACTATTTTTTATTCTTTATGTCCAGGAAAAAGGTAATGACCTTGACCTGACCTTGCCTCTAATATTTAACGGTCAAATTTAATCTCACTGACATCATCACTTAGTGATATTGACCTCTTGATTCTGTGAAAATTTCATTAATCTTTAAATACGAGAAATATGAGAAGAATCCTACCTTAATTGGATTTTAGTTGGACTTTATCGTCTATAGTCAGGAAAACATTTAAATATAAAACAGATGTGTTAGACGATATGGTGTCTTTTATTTCACGTTCGCTAGCATATATCAATTCGGCATATGGACGGAAGTTAAAAAACGATCTTTGGCTGTATATTGTAATAGCTTTTTCGATATATCTTATTATCGACTTGAAGGTCACATTTTTTTTCTTTTCATGTAAAAGCTTTTGAACAAATCCTGTTTTATATGAATATAAAAACAGATTGGGTAATAAAAGAGTACAATACATGCTCTTCGGAATTCAAACAGTTAGTTGGAAGACATGTTCTTTGAAGACTACATGATGATGTTAATAAGGAGCTCTATCATCCTTTTTATATCGACTTTCAGAGTAATTTTGTATTGAATTTAACGGATTTTTTGTTCTCCTTTACTTTGGTCTGTATCAAAGAATAAAGATTCTTACTGTCCAAATTTGATTTTTTCATAAACTGTTTTAGATATATTTCACAATGCCTATGTATATAATTGGGTTTTGTCAAATGTTTGTATGAAAACATATTTGTTTGGTTGAAAAACAAGAATGGAAAAGACACAGCAAGTAATCTTTTTGATCTTTATAATATGATATGACCAAATCAAACAACTCTTGAGAATAAATATTCTTAACATTAAACAGAAAATAAAAGAAAAAACTTGTCAATTTCAAATAGCAATTGTTGTTTCTTTCCTATCGGCTACTTACTACTTCTTGATCCTCCATATAAGGAAAACATTGTTGAGATTCTGGATATTCCAGCAAATTTTCCTCACAGTTATGATCATCCTTAGTCTCCTTATTCGTATTAAATACCGGATATCCAAAATAATTATTGTCGCTAGAGGAAAAGTGGGTTGAGTTTGTCAAAATAATCTGGAAATAAAATCACTAGTTAAAATTTCAACTGTTTCATCGACAAAAATGGAATTCAAATTTTCATTCCTCACAAATGATTTGTTAACTAAAATCTAACTCTAAAAATTATAATTTATCTATAATTACATGTGCAAATACCCCATGATACTCGCGGCACACAAATCCTTAGACACATTCACATTCTCACTCACACACTTCTCAAACCCATATACTCCCTCACCTTCACGCACATACTGAAAAGTATATATCTTAAACATGTTTGAGTGTTTTTATGACAATAATGATTGGAGCCATGTTTTATGACAATCTGTTAGCAAATTTATGGTTCTATTTGTGCCAATTTTAAGCAGATGAGGTTTTATACTTAAAGAATCATTTTGCAAGAAAAGGTGCACATTATTGCTTTTGATTCGACATAAAAACAAATCGAACATACATCAAATAACGATAAAAATTCCATGGATGCATTTTATTTTTCTATAACGTATAAAATGTACACTGATATGAAATCCTGCAATTGATCATAGAAACGCTTTTATCTTAAGAATGTTTTTTTTTTAAAAAAACTTTTCAACGATCTTTTGAACAATAGATTTAAAAAAAAATATTTAGCTTGAAAAACAACAATAATCGAATAATGATACTTGTAAGAAGACTTTCAAAAATTATTTAGATAAATATTTGTACATATACCTCATCAGGAATATCAAAAGAGCAAGGTTGATTTGAATCATCACTTGACAGAAAATCTCCCAGTTGATTTGTTTGAAATCTTTCTTGGTGCCACTTATCCATATGTTGAACCTTGTTGCGGGCTCAATGTACGTTTTGTCGACCATAAAACAATTTGTCCTGTTTATCATAAAAGTTCTGACAGCTCTATGCAAGTGAATTTGAATCTTTTACGGCCTAGTGATGTATTTTTCATGTCATCTTTATCTAAATATAAACTGATGTTGAAAATTGAGACTGATAAAAGTTAAACTGCAAGATTTAAATGCACTGCTTAAGTGTCGTGATTTATGGAAGAGGTTGGACATTGCAAGACTTTTCAGTGCAAACATTTGTGGTTTTTTTGAAAATAAATTCACGCAGTGTCAACAGTTTGAACAGTTTTCATCTTCTAATCACTTGTGTTTGAAATGTTAATACCATTTTAAAAAATAAAATGTAAAGAAATCTAATTTTGTCCCTTTCTACTCATATTGAAACGCCTCATCTTGCGAGTATATCAATTGTTAAATAAAGTACAGTGTATTAATTAAAAAAGAAGTGTCCTCCTTTATCTAACAATATACTTTTCAAATTGTGTAAGACACTTTTTGCTTCATCAGCCTGAAATAAAAACTATTGATATGTGAATAAAATAACTTCAGTAAATCCTCATTCAAAACTACCAAAAAAACTCAACCATTAACGGAAAGAATATTTAAAATTTTATTTTTTTTTTTTCGGAAAGTTTGAACAACGTTTGTTTAATTCAATGCTTTTCCTCTGATATTTTCTCTTATTTCGATTGTGAAGATAACACACAAAACATGGTCTCTCTTAGTTTATTTAAAGAAAATAAATGGGATTCAAAATATTTATCTCACCTAATCATGAAAATATTGTATAGATGTATACGCCCAATTCCTTTTTTTCATTTTTAAACCATGAAAAATATCATTAACATCCAAAACATTTGGAAAGAATTCAGAAATGGTTAATCTTATACTTATTTATTTAAACACTTTTAGTTTCATTTAAAAATAAAATCAAACTTCGTCGAAATCGGCACTGAAGACTTTTAAAAAATATATTTTCTTCGATTCGTAAATCTCCAATTATAATAAATCAAACGATGACTGTGTTAATTAACTATATACATTTATTATTTAAATGCTGCATATATATTACATTTCATGAAACATATGAGATATCGTGCAGTATTCTCCTATTTTGTTTTGTTTTATGGACTTTTGATCTTGAATACTGTTTGTTATCTAAGTGTGTTTCATTTTACTAATTACTAATTAAATGAAGATAAATAATCTTTTAAGTTTTATAATGAGGATTATTTCTGTTTTTATTTTTTTTTTAATTTCTTTTTTTAAAAATCGAAAATATTTTTTTTATGGATCATCGCTTTATTACCTCGGTAATTTCGCCAACATCGTTGAAAATAAATAACAATATATGCTTTCACATATTCAAAAATTTAAAAAGTATTCTAAAGAATGTTTAATCAATTCACTTTGTATATAACATGCCTCTTATTTCTTGAACCAGACATTTTTTCTTCCATGAGTAACTCAAAATTTAATCCTTTACAATTTCGTTTATTTCTTTTGCATGTTACATAATATATATTCAATGCATTCTATGATTTTAAAGATATTTATGCAACAATGATATGCCTTTTCTAACTGACTTATAACCGAAGAACTGCTCACTTTATCTTACAATTTCCAACAAATACAACAAACAATGGAACAATGTGTAAAAGAATTGTATTGTCATTTACGCTTTTATGATCCAATGACTTTTTGAAAACCCACATTACAAAAATTGTTATGAAATTCTTATTGATATTTCATACTTAACACATAAAAAGGAAATAATATATCAGGATAAAAAAGGAAACTTTCATTAAAAGGTAAATAAGTTCTTTACATAAATTATTTTTTCAATATTGAAGAAAATAATATATTTATGTTGTTATTATAGATATCATGC